ATGAGGACTATGAAAAGAATATTGGGTAGTGGTCCCTGAAGACTCCTGGTGATCGGGCAAGAAAAGGTGTTGGTGAACAAGTCAAATTTCAGAGGCTCAGGCAGTCGTGGCAGATTGGAAATGGCTAAATAGGATAGGAACAAAAGGGTAAGAATATCAAGAAAACTTTTTCTTTGAATGAAAACTTTATTATTATTATTATTATTATTATTAATTTCGATGTGGAGCTCAATCCCAGGATTCCGGGATCGTGACCTGAGCTGAAGGCAGATGCTTAACTGACTGAGGCACCCCCCCAAATTTTTTTATTATTGACAATAACACAGAAGATATTGATAGAGGGGGAGATTTAAGATGCATCAGAGGGAGAGAGTCTGTTGCCTCCTGTCAAGTTTCTTTGCCTCTGGTCTCATTTGTATCCTTCCATTCCCTGTACCGATCCTGATTATGTCAGCCCCCCACTGAAAGACTTCTCTGGGTGCCTCATGGCCAGTGGAAATCCAGTATCCTTAGCATAGCAGACAACATGCCTTGCACTCTGGTTCTAACCTTCTTTTCCCATTTTGTCCTTTGCCATTCAGGGCACAGGAGATTTTAGATTCTTTCCAGGTTGGGTCTTTGTATACATTGCTCTCTCTGGAAGACCCTTCTTTCCACCTTCCACATGGAAAATGCTAACTCATCTTTCAGCAGCTGGCTCAAATGTCACCTGGCTTTTGAATTCTTTCCTGACTCCCCAGGCCCAGTTCAGGTCTCCTTCTTTGGTACTTCAGCTGTAGACTGTACACTCATTTTTGTCTTGGTATCTTGCATTGCAAATCATCAATTTCCTTAGCTGTGTTCTCCATTAGATTGTATGATCTTTGAAAACAGGGATTTTTTTACTGTTGTAATCCCCATGACTGGGACAAAACAAACTCTTGCTAAAAGCATCAGGAATGAATGAGTGGGTATTAATGTAAGGAGATGTATCTTGAGGTATAGAGGATGGAAGTGAAGAAGCATCTTAGTGCTAAGTGAAATAAGCCAGACACAGAAATACAAATACTGCATTGATCTCACTCATGTGTGGAATCTAAAAAGTCAAACTCACAGAACCAGAATGTTGAATGGTGGTTGCCCAGGACTAGGGTATGGGGGAAATGGGGAGAAACTGGTTAAAGGGTACAAGCTTTCACTTATAAGATGAAAAAGTTCTGAGAATCGAATGTATAGTATGGTCATTGAAGGTAATGCCATATTTTATACTTAAATGTTCTTAAGTAGATCTTAAATGTTCTCACCACACACACACACACACACACACACACACACGGTAACCATGAGGTGAAGGATGTGTAAATTAATTTGATTGTGGTAATCATTTCATGATGTATATGTATATTAAATCACTGCATTGCACCACACTCTAAAAAAGCATGTTATACAAAATAAATATATATAATTTTTATTGGTCAGTCATACCTCAAAAAAGTTTGGAGGGAAAAAGCTTTATGAACTTGAGCAAGTTAATTTCTCCAAACCTGGGTTTCCTGTTGGTCATATGAGAATAATACTTCTCTTACAGTGTGCTTTTGGGGAGAAAGCTATAAAATATACTAACCATCATTTAGTAATCATTAATATTAGAATTATTTCCAACTCCATCTTCATGGCCTGTATATCTTGGTTTCTCTCTTGTCTTGGATTTGGCTGCAACTTTAATCCATTCTCTAAAGAGAAATGTTTTGTTTGTTCTTTAAGTAAAATTTTGATGCTAAGAAATTTAAACGTACCAATGTTTCATCTACCTAAATGATTCAATCTACAGCAAGCAAATTCAGCAAAAATCTAAAATTTAATATATGGGTTGATTTGGCAAGTTCACAATGAAATCTGACTTGTCTTAGGAGTTTCCAAGTAACTTCCCAGAGGAGGCTGAAGCTTTGAGGCTCCCTACACCGCATCGAAGGACACCCTTCCTGTCTTATCTTCAGTACTGTTTTGCCCTAAGTGATTTAGAACAGCTATTTCCATTTTTTTTTAGCAGCATTTTTGTGGTTAATAAAAACATGTGCTTACAGTTTTTTTTTGCATAGATAAAGGAAAGGATTCCACATCAGATTTAGATCAAGAGATAGATTTTCAGAAGAAAATGAGGGATGTGTCCTCCGGGAGCAGCAGAATGCCGTGATGTTCTGTCTCTGGCTGCTTGAGTTGAAGGCATTTATGAACACTTCCACGCCCACGCCCACACACGTCCACAAACAGTGGTCACCACTGCAGCTCCAGACACTGTCTTGCTCCCCAGTCTCCTTTCCAAAGTGCATCCGTTGTTTTCCATGACATGAAATAAATCCCTCTCTTTTGCCCAGTGGTGAAAAGCTTATATAAATACTAAAACTTCAACTATTCCCCTGAGTTTTCTGTTGGTAAGCCTGCAGCAGTGGGTTTGTTTGGATCTTGACGTGCCTTTTCTGTTCACCTCTTTGAGGCCACTTGGGTGAGTCTGGTGGTGATAAATTCACATGTCTTGAAAATTTATCAGGTTAACCACGATAACGCTCTGCTTATGGAAATTTAAATGATTGACACCCGGATTGAAAAGGCTCCAGGTTCAAAGTATCTCTTTTATTCTTTCAGCATATATCATTCTGGTGATATATATGTCTTAGGAAGTCTTGGCCAGGAGATGATTTGAATAGTCATTGAAAAGAAAATAAGGTGTGAAGAATCGATTACTGTAAGACATTTCATCTTGCATGGTTGTGTTCCCATGAAAGAATGCTTTTCAGTATGTAGAAGTGAAGTATTTGATTGTGTACTAAGTAGGGATAGTTAACATTACTGGCTATAATTAAAAATGGACAATGAAAAATCTTCATTCATCAAAATGATGAGATTAGGAAAGTTCCCTCAAAGTATTGATATTGTTTTTACCCTTGTTTTAAACAGTGGAAGAAGTAGTGCATTCTGAAATATAATTTCCTATGGAATCTGCAGACCTAAGATTAATTCTAGCTATATCTAAGATTGCTGAGTAAAAGTCCATGATCACTATTTCTACTGTATTTCCACTTGCCCTCCCATAGTAGTGAAGCCTTCTGCTTGTTGTCAATAATCTATTTTACCTAATGCTTTATTTATTTATTTATTTATATTTATATTTTATTTTTAATTTTTAATTGTTATGTTAATCACCATACATTACATCATTAGTTCTTCGTGTAGTGTTCCATGATTCATTCTTTGTGCATAACACCCAGTGCTCCACGCAGAATGTGCCCTCTTTAATACCCATCACCAGGCTAACCCATCCCCCCACCCCCTCCCCTCTAGAACCCTCAGTTTGTTTTTCAGAGTCCATCGTCTCTCATGGTTCGTCTTCCCCTCCAACTTACTCCCCTTCATTCTTCCCCTCCTGCTATCTTCTTTTTCTTTTTTTTTTAACATATGTTGCGTTATTTGTTTCAGAGGTACAGATCTGTGATTCAACAGTCTTGCACAATTCACAGCGCTCACCATAGCACATACCCTCCCCAATGTCTATCACCCAGCCACCCCATCCCTCCCACCCCCCATCACTCCAGCAACATTCAGTTTGTTTCCTGAGATTAAGAATTCCTCATACCTAATGCTTTTTTTAAAAAAAATCTCTTTTCACCTAGATTATTACTTAGCTAGAAATAGCTTGCTATTTTAACAATTAGTAATTCTAAATTCTTCATATATTACAAATTATGACTGTTGAGTTGTCTTTGAGGATCCAAGATTTTATTTCTGTTTCACTGTCTTAACAAGAAGAAATATAAAATGGTGAAGAAGAAATATAAAATGGTGAATCTCGGGGTGCCTGGGTGGCTCAGTCATTGGGTGTCTGCCTTCGGCTCAGGTCATGATCCCAGTGTCCTGGGATTGAGCCCCACATCAGGTTGCCTGCTCTGTGGGAAGCCTGCTTCTCCCTCTCCCACTCCCCCTGCTTGTATTCCCTCTGTCAAATAAATAAATAAACTCTTAAAAAAACAAACAAACGGTGAATCTCATTAATGAATTAGGTCCCCTTTCCTTGAGACATAATAGAGAAAATAAAGGCAATCAAATAAGCTTTTATGTCTGTGAAGTCTAATTATAAATTATAGAAAAAACAAAACAGAGGTAAAGGACTTGGCTGGATTTGAGTGTTGCTGGCTAAACTGATATATCAGTCTTCAGATGCCTAGATTTGTTCTGATTAGTAAGTCATAGTGCAAATAAGTAGCTAAAGTTGTGTTTAGGCCAATGGTTGTGGTTGTTAATTGTGGTGTACTTTAAATATAATGGAGGTAGAAGATATAGCTTTCTTTTTTTTAAATTAAAGATTTTTATCTGTTTGAGAGAAGAAGATCACAGAGGGAGAATGAGAAGGAGAAGCAGACTCCTTCCTGAGCAGAGAGCCCAATGCGGGGCTCGATCCCAGGATCCTGAGATCATGACCTGAGCCAAAATCAAGAGTAGGCCGCTTAACCAACTGAGCCACCCATGCACTCCAAACATATAGCTTTCTTTTAAAACAACTACATTTGTTTATTTTTTGTTTGGAGGAATAATTTAGTGTATCAATCTACCTTAAACTGATGTACTATGCCCAAGACCTAAAAAATACTTTGCACAATGACATTATGCTCAAAATTGCAATTATATTGTTATATTTATAAGGTGCTCAATACAACAACAATTGAAGCTCAGCTAAAACCACTTCCCACACAATCTGTCTTCTCCACGAGACTCCCTGTCAAAAAGCACACAGACACAGAAATAGGAGGGATTGTATGTCTAATGGTGGACCTTCAAACAATGGGAGCTGGGTGGCTATTCTTACCACTCCTGGACAAGTCAAGTTGTTTGAGTTAGGCAACATTCTTAAAACTAGGAGCAAAGAAAGCCTAAGAAACATATTTTTGTCATTATTGGTTGCTTCAAAAGAGGGCCATATGAGAAAAAACTGTTGTGTAAAAATGCATCTTTTTTGGGTCTGTTCCTAGGTTTGAAAAAGAAATGACCAGCACGTGGTTATACCTCTTTGAAGGCAGCGGGGTTGCGTATGGCCCAATCAACGACATGAAGAACGTATTTGCAGAACCCCAGGTTTGGTTTTTGAAGTTTTTAGTACATGGCAGTTAAAAATCGCAAGAAATTGCCTCTCTTTATCCAGATTGATTCACGTAAATACATGCGAGCCATTGGTCTTGAGCTTAAGTCACGTAACGTGATTTTTGACGGTTGAGTTAGACTGTGGGTCTGAAGTAAAAAGAATCAATTTAGAACTGGCTGTCTACAATCATACTTTTACGTCCATCAGATCTAACATATTTCTGCAGCAGTCTCTACATAAAGTTTGCAAGGTCAGGACATTTGTTTCTCCTGAAAAATGGGAAATGTAGATAATTGAGAGGTTAGGCTCAGGCCCTCAGAGATCATTCTCTGTAGAAGGAAGTATGACAACTTTTATAGTTGCAGCCCACATCTCACCAGACAGCTATCTTAAAGTGTACAAAGCAAGTCATGGTTAATTTTGCAAATGAGAGGCTTTTATATGTTTTGATTAGTAAAGTGCATTATTTGTGAAGAATCAATTGTACTTGAATAGAGGTTTGTACTGAAAAATTCTTATAAGCTTCATTTTGGGCCCCAGGAATCAGGATCACCTGAAAAAATGAGTTTTTTTCTATAACGTTGTTCGAATTATTATTTTTAAAGGCTATCAAAATAATTTTTGATTTATTACTTTAATCAGTATCACTGCAAGCAATTTACTGCTTCTCAGATTCGCATATTAATCCCAAAGGTAGAGGAACGCCATTTTTCTATGAAACTTTCACTATGATTATTCACATATCTTATCAGCTTCCAACACTTCAAAATTATAGGTCTAAAAATATTCTTTATATTATAACTGGTTTTTCTTTGAAATGAATTATTGAAACTGAAATATGATTTTCTAGGGGAGGAGAACTTTGTTGAAAACTGACCTAACTCTAACTTTGGTACCTATCTTTTACATGAGTATCTGCTTCAAGGAGAATTGACATGTATTTAATTCAGTGTTCATGATATTTACTGGAGAAAAAAAGTGAGTGGATTCAGGAATTCTGCTGTGTGTTATCTTCCTGCCAACATCGTGAATATGCCAAGGCTTTGCCCATAATAAAACAATGGCCGATAAGTATTTGAGATTAAGGGCCCCGCTGGATATGTACTGGGTTTATATGACAGGGTCCTCGCTGCATCAGTGGTTTAATGTCTGGTGATTAATAGCTCCATACCATGAGGCAGCAGTGAGCACACTCTGAAATGTACTAGACTCGGAGGACCAGTGTTCTCACTCATAACTTTGAATGAATGAGAATGGGTGAGTTTTACTCACCATTCCCCAGAGAATGGGGAATGGGTGGGTTTTACTATCATTTTCCTTCTTAAAAATGGTACCAAGCTGTGTAGGACTTGGCATTTAACTCGATTTGAGGGCACGTTTCTCTAGAGATCATTTCTAAGAGTTTTATCATCAACATTTCTGTTGCTTCACCTGTGTATTTTCAGGCACAAAGAATGTTATTTTAAAAATCACTGGGTATCTTCTTCCTTTTTTTTTTATTATGTTATGTTAAACACCATACATTACATCATTAGTTTTTTTAATATAAATGGCTTACATTTACTTTATTTTTTTAAAAGATTTTTTATTTATTTATTTGAGAGAGAGAATGAGATAGAGAGAGAGCATGAGAGGGGAGAGGGTCAGAGGGAGAAGCAGACTCCCCGCTGAGCAGGGAGCCCGATGCGGGACTCGATCCCGGGACTCCAGGATCATGACCTGAGCCGAAAGCAGTTGCTTAACCAGCTGAGCCACCCAGGTGCCCACATCATTAGTTTTTGATGTAGTGTTCCATGATTCATTGTTTGTGCATAATACCCAGTGCTCCACGCAGAACGTGCCCTCTTTAATACCCATCACCAGGCTAACCCGAGACGAATCACTGGGTATCTTCTAACATTACCTGTTTTCTAGGTTTTGATGAACAAGGAACCAAGGTTCCACCCTTCAAATTGTTCAGCTTATGGGCTGCTTCAGATTGAAAGTAGGATAGTTAGGTTTTTCATTCCCAGTTTTCCCTTGTAGTTCGGTTTAATTACTTTAATTGTTCTATCTCAACTCTTTTGGACCCACATGAAGTTTCTAATATTGGTCTACGGCATATTTTTAGCTTTTGCTACTACCCCAGGAGTCTCTGAAAATTGCCTTCTTATCCCCAAAAAGTAGCTCCTGTTACTATTCTAACATCAAAAAATCTTAATCATCCAGTGATAATTACTGACAATTTTACCCTAGTTGCAAGAGTGGAGTTGGTCTTTTTTATATATAATTTTGTTCTTTACAGTTTAAAGGCCAAATGTGCACATAAAATTTATCTGGAGTTTTAGAAAGACTAAGAGAGCAATGCAATACTGTTACATTTTAAAAATTAGCACGGACGACTCTGGCCATTGTATGTAGGACTGTTTGGCCCGAGAGGTAAGGACACTTGGCTCTTTTAAAAAGAATTCCATTATCATTTTGAATTTTGGAAGGAATGTAAAATGTGAAAAAATCAGGGAGTTATGTCTTAGGACTACTTTCAAAAGTTCATTTGACAAACCTTTATTGTACTATGTACCAACTGCTAGGGATTTAGCATGAATTTAGTAATTCTCTTCCTTTCTGAAAAAATAAATCTAAAATGGGTAGCAGATACACAGTAAATGTTGTTGTATGAATCCGTGAATGAATGAGTTGGTTAAACTCTGGCAAGTATAGGTTTTCCAAATGATCAAGGGGCTATTGTGCATCCCCTGGATGGGGCTGACAGCCTCTATCTGTAGCCTTTCTTTGGAAAGCACTGCCTAATGGTTAAGACCACGGAGTCAAAATTGTTGGGCAGTTTTATAAACTTACTGGGCTTCAGTTTTCTCAACTGTAAAGGGGTGTAATAGGATCTTTTCTCTATATTGTCGTGTTACATGAGATAATGTTTATCAAGGGCAGTAGGGATTGCCAGAGGTAAAGGCTCAAGACACAGGAGTGACTCTGGTTACAGTGGTACTCTTTAAGGTAATATTTTTGTTAAAAAACACCTTCGGTGGAGACCTTTGCTCAAGGTTATATTTGTTTGGTGGATGCAAAGACCTTTGTTTGGTGGATACAAACAAAATCAGTGTGGCTGTGGGGTTGGGGATCCCTAGCTTAAAAATCGAGCTGTAATATTCTTTTTAAGAAAAGGCATCCGCGAACTCTGTGCCAAGAACTTCTCAACCCTTCATCATTTCTGATGGCTGAAACTCCTCTTATTTTTTATTTTCTGTAAAAGTATCATTTCCGTTTAAGGTGTCCTCCCTTGTTTTTCCCCCGATGAGCTGTAGAGTTTCTTGGCCCAGGGGTGCATGGAACTGGCCACGTGTGCTCAGATGTGGGACCCGCCACTGGCGCCCGTGGCTGGCTCTCGTGCTCACTGTGCCAGCACAGCTGCTACTCCACGGAAAATTGATTTGGGTGAAGTACAAGGCCTGGAACATGGCGCCGGAAGTGAGGCTTTGATGAAGTGAAGAGGGGTGTGTCTAACCAAAAAGAAAAAAAGGAAAGTCAGAAGCATCAAAGTGCAGGAGAGGATTTTCTGGGGGCCCGCTTATCAAGTGGACCAGTCACCGTTCATCTATGGTTTGAGCTCGGTAGATGACAAAAATGTACTTGATGGTAGAAACTATTTCGAACCTAAATAATTTCATCATGGCCTCATGTTCTGAGGAAACCTGATTTTTTTTTTTTTTTGACTCAGCTGAAAGAGCAGATGATTTTTTGTTTCTTGGATAGATGCAACGTTGTCTACCTTTTATTTTAGCCTCTGATTATCTGCTGCAGACTCTGAAAGGTTGAAAGGGTCCTCCAAGCATCCACTGTTAAAGTCAGTCAAGAATACTGTGGGGGTTTTGGTCTGTATTTACTGATAGCTTAGAGGAATTTTGATCCAAAAACCTTTTAGTGGTAGTTTTATTGTTTTTTTTTCCTTCGGTGATAAATTATCTGTGGAGAACTCTGTGTATTCTATAGAAATGCAATATGGATTATCTGCATATCGATTTTAAGAGTCATTTTTTAAGTGCTTTCTTAAAATATCTTTTTTTAATCAGGCCAAGATTGTGTAGTACATTAAAGGAATTCTTAAAAAGCTTAAAAAACTTGCTAGATGACCTCAGTATGGTCCTATTTAACATACCCTGGGGAACATGTGCATGAAATACATTATGGTTTGAGGTTTTCCAACCCAAACAAACTTAAAAGAAAATGCAGCTTTTAATAAAAACTATTCAGATTCCTGCAAAAATAGGTATGGATCCCACCACCGAGAGCATTTAACAGCATCATTATCTACCATGAGAATCAAAAGAGACTGTGTTACCCTGATTTTTGCATTTTGCTTAAGACCGTGTATTTGGCGATTCTAAGTGTATTCTTCAACTGAACTGCGCAATTAAAGAATATATTGATATGAATGACGAATCTCTGATTAATGTTTTTTTTTTTTTCCTCTCCTTGATGCCATGACCCATGGGTGGGGAAGAGAGGGCAAAAGGGTGTCGCCAAACGTGTTATTTAACAGAGTCTTCACATTTCTACCACACAAGTTGAATCCATCAGGTGTAAGACATCACCCTGAAGCATCACTTCTGAGAACTATTGGGAGGGAAGTATCAGAACTGAAATATCACAGCTGGCCCTGATTTTAGCTGGTGCCAAACACCTGCAGCCTCTAAAAGGATACCAAAACAAAACCCCACCCCATGGCAGCAAGCCATCCCTTAACAACCCTTCCTTAACTTTGTATCACCATCAAAATTAATTTAACATTTTCTACAGAAACCTTCTTCTTCCTGTCCCAGAAGGCCATTACAACTCCTTTAGCAAATCTTTCGTATGGGATAAATATGTCATAGAAGCAAACAGAGTGAAGTATTGAAATATTTGATAGCTTAAAATTATCTGTTGTTTTCATATCATTATTTGTGGAAGCCTGTGAAGTTGGAGGTTTTATTAATCTCTAGGCTAGCTCATATTC